GGCTTCTCCGGCGTTCGTAGGCCTCTGCCGCGCACGAGGGGGCCGTTCTTCAGGGAGGTACGTGGGGGTCACAAAAAGTCTCTTAATGGCAGTCTTGGGGGTATATTGTGATCCCCTTGACTTGCCCCTTCTCCTCATAGTGCCAGAGATGGCGTATGGGCATGTGTATGTTCCGATTTTCGGTAAGTTTACCCGGGAGCAGAAAGAAAGCACAGCTCACACGGCCATTGCCAAGCCACGCCCCCAAACTAGATTTTTTTTACTTTATTGGAAGTATACCATGTGTACACTCTATTCAGATTCAGTGCACTGTGAAAGAATTCAGCATTCAGGTCACTGCTGTAAGTGCGAACAGGGCCTTAAAGTGTTAGCTTCATATGTTCTAAAAATGGAAAAAGCCAAATGAATACAATTTGATGTTAAAGCTTCACAATGTTTAAGACTACAGCTTACAAGGATCGCAACGAAAAGTTCAGAACCTCAAATGTCCCTCTATGTCCATTTAGTATCTGGTGCATTTTGTGCAGACATACTATTACTGACAGTAATAGTTATTGCTTTATCACCAGATAAAAATTAGTTGTCATTTGTTTTTGTGTGTTACACGAGGCTCAATTTACAAGATTAACATCAGGATAGGATTCTTGAACCTGTCATTTTCAAATCTCATGGCTTAATTTAACTGCCAATTGGAAATAAGGTTCCTTACCATTTAGCCAATGGAATGGTATACCTATTTTGAAAAATCAATATATGGGACCTTAAAGTGGAACTTCAACTTAAATTTGATTTGCCATTTAAAGAAGTGTAGGATCCTCTGTTGGCTTTTTATCACTGTCTAAGTCGCTGTTATTTAATCTTACTTCCTTCACTGTTGGCAACTGATCATTGAGACAGGAAATTAGAGAAATGTTTTCAATGAAGACACGCAGCACAATAAAGAGCGCTTAGTAGAGTTTGGAATGATTCAAACCTTTTTTAGGATTTTATTACGGTCTGTGTACTTTTTGGAGAAATTTCCTCTCAATCCCTTTTCTGACGAAAAGACATAAAATAAGATTAAAACTCACCAGTTGAGACACAGGCATCAATAAAAACCTGAAAGATGCTCCCCATACTTTAAAAAAAAAAAAAACTAGCTGGAGTCCAGCTTAACCCCTTCATGACTGAGGCCTTTTTTTTCATTTTTTGTACCCATGTTATATTCCACATTTTAGGCCTGAAAATTACTTAAAACCCCCCAACATTATATATTTTCTGAATGCCAAGACCCTATAGAATAAAATGGTGGTAGTTGCAAATTTTTATGTTGCGCAATATTAGCGCAACTCCTTATTAAACCCCAATATTTAGTGAAAAATTTAATTAAATGCCCCAAAACACAACAAAATACCCATTTTTTTAATGAAATATAAAAGATGAGGTTACAACGAGTAAAACGATACCCAACATGCCCAGGTTACAAATTGCGTGCATCCGTAAAACGGCGAAAAACCCCAGTACCCCAAAAAGTCCATAGAAGACGCTTTAAAAGCCCCCACAGGTCATCAATTTAGAGATACCCCAAAATACTGGCCCTAGAATTATTGCTCTCACTCCGGCGTGCGCGGCGATACCCAACATGTGTAGCGCGTTCGTCGTTTTCATACGTAGGCGCACCCGACACGTGTTTACGTGGCGGCGCGCGTGCTCGCGGGGGTGGGGGACTTTTAAATTTTTTTTATTATTATTAGATTTATTTTATTTAACCCTTTCGCTGCCAATCCCTCCGGCACATTTTTCAAATCAGCTGGCCAAGGCATTTTTGAATTTTTCTGCAATTTTTTTCCTATTGATTTGATTTTCAACTGCTGCGTTGCTAAGGGCGTACACTGTACGTCGTCAGTCACGAAGAGGTTAAAGTAACAGTGGATGTGATATTACACAGACCATTTGTTGCTTCTGTATGGGATCCAACTGCCTGAGATCTTGATTACTGAGGAGCTGCAAATGAACGACAGTGGTGCATTTTAGTTTAAGAATTAGTCCACTTTTAGTGTTCGTATCTTTTTCATGCCACCTCACATGAATGGCCCAAACGCCATAACTTAAAGTGGAGTTTAGGATATGCATGGGTAGGAAGAAGGACTGGGAAGGTTTTAAAGAGAGGCTGAGCGGTGCCAAGCAGAACAAAGATTCTCCTGTAGCTGCATTTTAGGTAGGCATATTATATTACAAAACGGCAGGGGAAGGAGATGGAAACCTGAAAGGGTATGTTCCGTAAATTACCTTGCTTTAAATGTGTGAAAAAATGTTTTCAGTATTATGCACTTTGGAATGTTAATATGGATCGATGCTCTAATGTTAACATATAGCTATATTTGCAGACCTGTTTAGATGAATAAATAAAAAATATTGAAATACTTAAATATTTACGTTTTCTGGAGAAAATGCTGTTCCAAACTACTTTTATTGTTGGCCATATCTGAAAACCTAGGTATTTGGTCAGGTGTTAAAGGGGAGGATCGAAGTTCAGACTGCCTAGCCTAGAATCAGACCAAAGAGGTTACTCTCGCATCCATGCCTATATATTGTGTCTCATCTTAATATTATGATGTTGTAGGCACATAGTAAATGTATGATCACCGGAGCAAGGTGTCTAAATAATCAGTATTCTTGCCTTGCAGCATTGTTGTCATGTCTATTCCCACCAGGGACACTGCTTAAACTTTGCATGGTCTCCCTGGGTTTGCTTGAAATGTCCTAAGTTTCTTTGTACTGCATACTGGTAGGTCAACCGGAATTTAACCAAATTGGCCCTGAAGTGTGCATGTCTGCATTACTGATAAGAACAATCATATTGTTACCTCCTTGAGCAACTTCTATAAAATGGTCTGTGTTTTCTTTAAATCTTTTGTTGACACTATGGGGCATATTTGTAAACTTTGTGGATTTCACCAAACATTCACTGGTGGTGAAATAATCACTACCATTTAAAACACATGCACTAGGAAGATTCACCTGAATTGAATGTTTTCGAATATCAGATTCACTGCTTTGTTAATATACCGAAGTATGTATAAACAAAGTTAATACATTGGAAAAAAGAAAATAGCACTGCGCTTCAAACTCAAAATATTCCTAAAATGTGAGAAAAATATTATGAAATGTGAAATTGTCACAAAGTGATAAACAATTTTGTGTCATACACAACACCTGTGTTGCACAATGCCTGTGCTGATGATAGTGAAGAAAAAGCTCTAGGTCTAATGGTCTAGACACTATAAACCATAATAAACATAGAAAAAAAAAATGTGCTAGTACATCTCATAAAATGTGTACATATAGAAAATCCTGTGTTAAATCTCACAAGTGATGTAAAACTCCCTCTTAATTTACATAACCATATGTGAAGTCCATTACTTCTTCATACAATAAAGTCCTTGAAATATGTGATGATATATCTTCCAACTTTTATAATCAACACCACGTCCGTGAATGCATCAACAATTAGTGAATTAGTGCTCTCCAATCTCCACCATGCTCAAAGATGAGATTTGGCCGCACTCACCGACTCCTATTGCTCACCATATTTCAGATGAACAATTAGCGCTTTGTTGATATATATATACAGCACCAAATCCTCTCCTTTGTTTTTAATCCGACAATAAATTGGGGTAGATTCCTCCCAACTCTGGCTTATCTTTCCAAAATCGTGTAACACTATTCCTCCATCTTCCACCTTCTCTTGTGCTCAGAGAGAGAAAAAAAGGCTTCTCATAGTGTATTATGTCAGAATAAATTTATTTAAAATGCACTTTCAATTAAAATAAGGCAATTGCACATGGATTGTGTCCACAGGAGCTCCTGTCTCTATGATTGCAATGCTCGCATAGATCCGCCCACCTGATGCATTTCGTCACTATTGACTTCCTCTGAGGCGACGGTCTGCATACGAGCATTACAAACTCCTTTCCTTTTTTATATCACACATAACGGTGATCAAATTCCTGCCACTAGGTGTCACCCCATTCAGGCTGCATTCTAGTGTGTATAATCTCTTAAACCCGTTTCAAACTGGACTCCATAATATATGACACAAAATTCTTTATCACTTTGTGACAATTTCACATTTCATATTAACATATTATTTTTCTCACATTTTAGGAATATTTTGAGTTTGAAGTGCAGTGCTATTTTCTTTTTTCCTATTTTGGGTGTACTCACCTATTAAGCACAGCTGCTCTTAGAGTGTTATTTGATTCCTAGCGCAGTTTTTTTCTATCTAACAAAGTTAATACATTAGATACTTCCACAGTTGGTTTCAGAATACAACAGCACTGCTATCCTGTATAATGTAATATTTTTTAATAATCAACACTAAACATAAATTTGGCCTTGTGGATGAAGGGATTATTTTCTTAAAAGGCTTAAAAAGCTGTCATTAACTACTTGTTCATGAAATTCAGTTTATTGTATAACATTTAATTTTATTTTAAGTAATATTTAGAAACAAGTATGACAATGTGATACAGTGTTTATCATAATTACAAAAGCACATTTACAAATCAAGTTTGTCATTTCAACCTCCTTCCTGATGCAGAGCCAAAGCCCAAATGAAAACTACATGCTCGGAATTTTCAAAGTCTGCTTTTAGTTTAGCCTTTGAATAAAAATCACATGCAAAAAAAAACTAGCCAGGATATTTATCGATTGAAAAACAGACATACCTAACCTAAGATAACAGACCTGTTTGAAACAGGCGCTGTTCAGTGTATTATATCACGGCAGGCAATTAAGTAGTACATTTATTCTACAAGATTATGTGTGCAAATACAAATGAATAGACTGTGAATAGGAAAATATTACCATGACAGTAGAAAACCATCAGAACCAAACAAAAAAAAGAATAGATTTTTCTTACAAAGGAAAGATCATGCTATTTCGTTGCCTTCAATAATACAATCTTTATTTGTATGAATTATTTCTTTCACATATTTCATTTTATTTTTAAATAACAGGAGCCTGTGTTATTCACTGGGACAATGAGGAAAAACCTTGATCCTTTTGATGAGCATACTGATGAGGAGCTGTGGGATGTTTTAGAAGAGGTATTGAAAACATTAAATGTGTATCTTTTTTTATTTTAAGACATTTTAAAGAAAATTAAGATGTCTTTTCTTTATGCATTTTATCTATGCATTTTATCTGTTGTCTTATGCAGCTTTGATGCTAGGGCTGTTTCATTATAAATGTACTCATTAAGTTACTCCCTGTACACTGTATTCTTTTGTAGTCTAAGTAGGAACAGGTGAAAATGTGTATTTAAAAGCTAAGTGTTTTAAAAATGTATTTAAGGATGAAAAGAATGCCAACTGAAGCTCTTTCATTATAAACCCAAATAATATGATTTTGGGCAGTCCTTAGATGATGTGCAGGCAGACAGTGAGAGGAGAAGGGCTCCACCATGATAGGATTCAGACACTGTACTGCCTTCCTCTTGCCTGTTTGTCCCCTAAATATACATCCCACTCTCTTCCTTACTGGACTTCACACGATCTAGAAGCAAAGCCCAATTTACAGTGTACCACAGCTAGAATGTTGGAGAGTTTAAATAAGTTATTCTGGAGAGTAAGAGATGAATCAGATAATAGAATGTATAATTGTCATGAAACTAATGGAGATATTGGGGTCTATTAACGAAGCTTCCGAGGGATCTGGCCGTAGCTTCAGCCGATCCTTCGGCTAGCTTCGGCCCCAGGACCCCTTCGGTTCAGTAGAACCGAGGGGGTGCTGTACGGGCTATTCACAATATGCATTCGGCTATTCACTCACTGCTGTTTGGCAACTTTAAGAATAGGCGGAACAGCAGTGAGAAGCCTGCCGGGGGTTCGGCTCAGCCGATCCAGATGTTGGATCGGCTGAGTCGAACTCCTTCTGAATAGACCCCACTGTTAGCACCCTCCTACTGATGCTGATGCATATCACTCCCGGTTTAAGTGTTTAAGTGTTTGAATCTTGCTCTTCTCTTTGAGCATTGACTGTAGCTGAAGGATATTGGCTCCATGAAATCTAATAGCAAAAAAACTTTAAAAAAATCTCTTGATTCTCTTGCCCCCCCACTTTCTCCCTGCAACAATGGGTAAAAGATTTAGGGATACATTTATACCACAACAAACACAAAAACGGCATACTGTGCATAAATCCTCCATCGCCACTAGAATACAGGCAGGGTACAAAATCTTGACCAAGTGGTATAGATTGCTGACAATCCTAAACTAAATGTTCCCCTTGTGTGTTGTGGCATTGCAACGAATGCCCCAGCACTTCTACATATATTTTGAGAATATGCATGTTTGCAACCCTTTTGGCTGAGAGTCATGGACCTTATTCACAAAATAGTAGATGTTCACCTGGACATGAATCAAGTCATGTTTCTCCTTCACCTTAATACCTACTCAAGTAAGATCTAAAAAAAACTCCTTGTTGATTCATCTTCTCAGTTCTGTGAGGGTGTGTGGAAGCAGCCTAACCCATTAAAGTTGACAATGTGGTTCTGCAGAGTGAACAAAATCAGGCTGATGCATAGATTTATATAAACAAGATATATTTCCGAGGCACCTGGTATTCATGGATCAAATTTACAGAGACAGCGGACTACCTTAACTCCTTGCCTTCTGCCTGTTGTATATAAATGGACGAGCACCACACTCTTGACAGCGGGTTGCCGTAAATAAACTGCATTATTTTTTCCTGCTTACGCACACTAGATAGCAGGACATTTTACAGGATACATTAAACATTCTTAACAGCCAGCGACAGCCGTTACAAACAGGCGTTCAGGTGGCTATAGTGCCACCTGTTCGCTTGTATGCTGCTTGGGGGTGTGCGCGTCCCTTCCCCCCGCCCGCTATCCCAAGCTCTGCTGTCCCCTGTGCTGGCCAGGGACCAGCACGGTTGGTCTCTGCACTGAAATCAGAGGGAGATCAACACAGGTCCATCAGTTGAACTCCTCTCTGATCACTTAAAGTGGAAGTGATGTGAATTTTGTCATTTTTCCCATCTTCAAGTGGTTAATGCCTTTTCCTCCTGAATTAGTGTAGATGGTTGTAGAGACCTGGAGAGTCATCGGTGGCTGACCATGACCCTTATATACTTGTCTCTACCACCACAACCCCCAGTGGGTTTTACAGCTCCCCTTAGTCCCACCGTGTGTTGTCCTCATCCTGGCCTACCAATTTTTTACTGAGTAAGCTTCATTTAACTTTTCTTACTACTTTCTGCCACCTTGGCTTTTCCATCTTTACTTTCTCCCCTCCTTCTTTAATGTATTTCTTTGTCACATATAAGCAGTAAAAATATGAGTATGCAAGACTTTATAGACAAGCTGATCAACATCAATATACAGTGTGAGTATCTCATGTTGCCAACAGTTAAAAAAAATGGCTCTCTTGAAGCAGAGATTGTCAGAAGTGCTTCATCATTTGGACCCTTACAACTAAAATGTGTTTGTCTGATGGTTGTATCCCCTGGGATAGGTCAGGGCAGGTAGCAGACATTGCTAAATAAAGAATCAGGCAGAATCCATGGGCAACAGATTAAAAGACATGCTAAAATAAAACCAGGACCAGGAGATTAGGAGCAGGTGGCAGAGAACATTACAAATCAAAACCAGGGAAAACTGAGCATTTTCAGGATAGCTTCCAAAGTTTTGATAAGAGATAACCTATACCTTTGCATAGGTATACTTCCAGCCAAAATTAGCCTGGCTGTTGCAAACAATATGGTTCTTTCTGAGGAAGACCCTAGTAGAGGGAGTTGCAGTAATTCAGTGTGAATGATACAAAAGCATGAATTCATTTTGGCATATCCTCTACTGGAATCAGATGTTTGATTCCTGTAATATTCCTGAGATGGTGGAAGGAGGACCTGATAGCAGTTAATATCTGTCGCTTAATCAATTGGTCATTGTCCAGGATCATGTCCAGGCTTTGCACATGGTCTGAGAACATACATATTGTATTCCTAAGGGTTAAATCAGCTTAACTTGTTTCTTACCACGTAAGAGGAGATATGATCACAGTGTCCAAAGTTGTGTTCAGCTGAATGTTGGAATAATAATAAACTATGTCGTCTAGGATCTCTAAAGAAAACATGCAAGCACAATTTGAGATTAGAATACAATAGGCTTAGTTTTAAATTACAGAAGGGGTTCTTTATTATAGGAGCAGTAAACATTTAACTCCCTTCCCCAGGAAGTGGTATCAGCTGAGAATGTTGATGAATAAAAAAAACTCATAGATTTCTTCCTCAGTAAACATAGTATTTAGGGTTAAACAAGGGTTGATTAGGGTTGATCTAAACAACTCAAAATGACACAAACACCCACACAAATATAGGTTAAACTTGATGGACCTGTGTGTGTTTATAACCTAGTTATCTGCAATAGGTACTTTTGTTTTGTCGGAGTTCCATTTCAGCCAGTTACATTTTATCCACTCTTGTATGTCGGTAAGACACCTGTTAATCCTGCTCACAGGGTCACCAGGTTTGAAAGACAGGCAAGAGTTGTGTGCCATCTGCATAGCAATGGCAACTAAAACTATGGTGTTGGATGATATTTCTAAGTTACATCATTTACAGACATGGAAAATTTGTTGATACCCTTTCACACAAAAAAAGAAGAACCCACTTTTTTCTGACATAACTTGAACCTGACCAAAATAATTGTCACCCATCATTGTTTCTTCTATATTTAACCTAATATTTTGTTGAATGACCTTTAAAGTCAATTATTGCAGACAAGCTATTTTTGTAGCTCTCAATGAGACTTCTGCTCCTGTCAACAGATAGTTTGGCTCACTCTTCTTGAGCAAGCTGCTCCAGCTGTCCCAGGTTTGAAGGGTACCCTCTCCAGACTCTATGGTTCAACTCTTTCAATAGATGTTCTGATAGGATTCAGATCAGGTGTCATAGAAGGTCACTTCAGAATAGTCCAATGTTTTGTTCTCAACCATTCTTGTTTTAGTAAAAAATGCATTCAAATTAATTGTAGTATGCACAAACACAATGCTCATTTGTGCTAAAATTGATTAAATAGGTTGCATTGAGTAATTAGATACCAGTGTCAAGCCTTAAAATTACATAAAATGGCAACATTTTGGTACCCTAAATTGTCCATATCTGACACTTTAAAAGCCTTTACAGGTCATCAGTTTAGCATTAACCCTGAACAATGGCCCTAGAGTTGATGCTTTGGCTTGCATGGCACAACCTAACGTGTGGCAAATCATCACTTTCATATGTAGGCGCATACAATGCCTGCGTTTATGTTTGTATGTGCCTGTACATGGACTTTAAAGATATGTTATGGATTTTACTTCTTTAATCTTTTACACTTTTTCTTTTTTACTTAACCCTATTGCTGTTACATGGGGTGTTGATAAGCCTCCTATGTTATAGCCCCTTGATTTGAAATCTCTCTTTAAGTAGACATTTAGAATCTGTTAGATCAGCTTCATCCCTGGCCATAGCACGCTGCTCTGAAGCCAGAAGTGATGAAAAGCTCATCACTTCTGGTGTCATTCTTCACGGGGATAATCAACAAAGAATGTTCGCTAATCATCCTCAACTCTCTCCACTAACACCCGCTATGGGTGTCCTTCACGCTCACTTTCAATAGAAAGCTGACAGATGGCTTTACAGAGGTAAACAAACTTTTTGGTTGTTATAGCAACCGGGAGTCCATTAACAGGTTCCTGCTGCTGCTGCCATGAGCCCTACTATAGCGGATGAAGCAAAATGGTTAAACAAACCTTGCCAGAAATTCATTTCAAGAACTGGAAATTTTTAGCTGTTTTCCATCAGGTTAATTAACTTTTATGTATAGTTTTCCATCTGAAAGGGGCAGTCCTTCCAAACCGGATATTTTAGTTTTAGAGAGATGATAGTTAAACCACCTAACACCTTCTTATATCTCTTGGGAACTCTGTTAATGAGATATCTGCCGTTATGTGGGGGTCCCATTGTCCCTGTTTGATTTCTTATTTATTTTGTGTTTTGGAAAATATAACAGAAGGAGCTGGAATACAGGTGAGTAAGAACACTGAAAACCACAAAGATAGCAAGAACAAATATAGCAATTATGACAGGGAGATCTCACTCAATAAACTGAAATCCTAAAATGCATTTATGTAACTATTAACTGTGTTTTAGTTGAGTAATCCATGGTACGGCTCTTAAATCCACGTAGATCCCCTCTCAGCTGCTGTGCTCACCGTGAAATATATCACTGCGCTCTAAAAATACCCTCAATCACAATACATCTAAATATCCATCAAGTGCCCTTTAAGGCTAATTTTCAAACATATATCTCATGATATTCATCAAATTCTCAAGCCAATTTTTAAATATATCACACTGTGTTCATCCAGTATAAGTTTTGAATAATATTTATGTGCCAATTTCATTCATACACTATAACATATAAACTTCCTGTGATATAAGTTGTTTCATATGATGGTCATCTCTGAGCCTGATGAAGGGGACCCTGTGTGGCCCCGAAAGCGATTGCCAATGAGAGACAGCGATTGTCCATAAATGAACACTTAATTGTTGATTATTATCGTGTGGTGTGCTGGTGACATCCTTTAAACCATATATTGTTCCAATTTTTTTCACATATTCCAGTTTAGCTATGTTGTCCTAGTTTGTTCACTTCTCCTGCCTTCTCCAAACTCTTCACCCTTTTGTGAATAACCCTGTCAGTTTAGCAACAAAAGTCGCTTTAACCCTTTCGCTGCCAAGCCCTCCGGAACATTTTTCAAATCAGAAAAAATATTTTCAAATGTAAGCTTTTTCTTCAACAAACAAATTGCCATTTGTGCTTTTGTACTTTTACTGGTAAACACAGCTAACAAATTGTTATTGATTTAAGTACAACTTGTGTTAATGCATGATGTTTTAACCTAACGTGTTAGCACATTCAAACTGCCTGTTGCTATTGTGCAGCTTATTTTACAAGTATTTGGAAAATAAGCTTTTACCTGTTTTACAAGTATGTAATTGATAAACAAAAATGTGGATGTTACATGTATAATAAAGCTCTTGACAATTTAATCAAATATTTACCATAAACCGAGAGCAACGCATGTTGTTTTCTTTTTTTTTAGGTGTATTTACTTCTTTGAAAATGTTAGTCATGAATATATGTTTTGTCACAGGTGCAGCTAAAGGAAGTCATTGAAGAATTACCTGGTAAAATAGAGACTCAGTTGGCTGAATCTGGGTCCAACTTCAGTGTAGGACAGAGGCAACTTGTTTGTCTTGCTCGGGCAATTTTAAGGAAGAATCGGATATTAATTATTGATGAAGCAACAGCAAATGTTGACCCTAGGTATGTAAATCAAATATATTTTCAGGCAGAATTTCGGAATAATAATAATGCACATTAACACACAGTAATGTGAACATTGTGCTGAGGTGCCATTCATTTAGAATGATGCCTTAATACACACATACAGTAACTGTCAAAGCAATAATGCATGCAAGTGTCTAGGGGCCCTTAAAATGTACCTGTACTTGGATCCAAAGACCAGTGCTAACCATATATCTTTTTAAGAGCTTATTGAAAGCTTTCCTGTTTTTGCTATTCAATGCCAGTGTGCTGCATAAGATGCTATACAAATCTAATATTACTTTTGACTTTGGGCATAGTTAAACTCATCTTGCAGATAATGCAGACAACCAGTTTCTTCCCCATGACAGACAGATTTATATCAGGGATTCTATAGTAGAGATCTCACTATCTGACATGTTCCTCCACTCCCAGACAGAGAGAAGCAAGGTAGTGATACCTATACCAGTAGTTTACATGTCTAATAGTATAACCACAGACAACAACAGAGGGTATATGCAATCCAACAGGGAGTTGGCAAGGTGAAGAATGAGTATAGGTTTTCTTTAACTCCCAAACCCCACCCCACTGCAGAGCAAAAGAAAGGATAACTATATCCAGTAGATGGAACACTTATACATGGCTACTTGTATTGTGCAAATCCTTTCCCGGTTGTACTTTTTTTGGCAGGAAAGGATAAAAATATTTACTTAACAGAAGAAAAAAACACTAAAAACTATAACCTTTAGTTGATTATATTTCAATGAAACATTTCTGTTATTTTTATGTCTTTAGATTCCCCATGCATCAGTCCATTTTGATAGTGGTGCTTGCATATCAGCCCCACACTTCAACCCCTTTACTCAACTATAAATTGTTTTTCCTATCTATTCTGGGCAGTGTGTCTCTCATACTAGGTGGTCTTTCATCCTCTTCAGCAACCTAGATTTATCCCTGAATAACTAAATACAGTATATAAGTAAATAAAAACTAGAGTGTGATTGATTTACAGCGGTGTTTAGAATCATAGTTTCAGGTTATTTTAAAACAGATTGCAAATGTAGTTTTAAAAAAAAGCTGTCAATCTAGGTAAATATGAAATTATCCTTAAAGAATTTGTGGCAGAAGTATTAATAGCTTTTGAACTCTAATACCTACTGTGTCAGGTGTTGTTATTGGTATGTGTATGTAGCCTTGTCTGTTACCTTCTTTTTTATGTTGAGTGTGTGTTAGATGGTAGCCTGACCAGTAATGCTGTCATATTTGTGTCTAATACTTTCCACAGTAGCTTTGCTACAAATGCATTTCATGAAGCAGTTCTCTATATTGACATCTGTACATACAGTACCTGCTAAAGCAACAAATGAAGGCTAGAAAGGCTGAACATTTCATCGTACATCTATACAGTAGATAGTAGAAGTAGCTTGTTAGGAAAATAGGGTTTAAATCTATCCTTAGTAATGCTCTCTGTTATTACTACAATTTTTAAAAGGGTTACAATTATTTGTTCCCAGTTTTTGAGACTGCTTTTCCTAAAAAATGGTTTTATAAAAAGAAGGGCCTGTGCCATGTTCTGCCACTCTAGCCAACATCTGTCTTTTTGCTTGTTGCCCCTGTCTGTTGTAGTGGATTTTATTGTGTCCACTTATCTATCTCTTCTGGTAAATGCAATTGTCATTGTTGTACTTCTTGGATCCTCTCTCCAAGACACTTACAGCTTCTGCTATGTCAGTCCAGCTAAGAAATGTGTTCTTCACTCTTATAGAGTAATTTATATATCGGTTCTCTGAAGATTGTACATCTGTAAAGGGCCAGTTACTATTCAGTTACTATTCTGAATCGTGTTTCAGATACTTGAGCACTCAGTTGCCTATCCCAACATGCCCACCAGTATTAGGGGAAATATTAGGGGTCTAAACAGACCCCACATATTTCCCTTTTAAAATAGAAAAAGAGATTGAGAACACAGATTCCTTAATCACTTTTTCTGTATCCCCTGTTATAAATTAACAGGAATCCTCTGAGTGTTCCTGTTCATTCATAACATGTGGAGATAGTATGTTTACTATAACCACAAACATGAACGAAAAGGAGGTGATGTAGGTCACTTCCCATTCATTAATAATTGAGGCTATAAAAATCATACTATGTCCTCCTGTCACAGGAGGCTGGGCGATGCGGTGCAGGTAGGAGAGCTCAGCACGAGCTGTCTCTGCCCACACACTGCTCTGCCAGACTGTGACAGGAAGCTGAGCAGTGCAGGAGGAGAGACGCCGGCCACTCACAGCGCTCTCCTCCCGCAGCGCTCAATTTAAAAAAAAAAATATTTAGTTTTTATAAACTTTTTAATTTTATATTTATTTTTATTTATTCATTTTTTATGAAATAATTTTATTTTTTACTTTACTTTTAGGGGCTTTGGGGAAATATTAGGGGTCTAAAACTCTCCTCCCCGCTGGGGCACGGAGCACCGCCCAGCGGGGAGGAGAGAAAGCAGGCATGTGCCGCTGTATCGGCAGAAAAATTGCACTTTTGGCATTATGCCAAAAGTGCAATTTTCGGCCGATATGTTTCGGCTGCCGATATATCGGTGCATCCCTAATAAATATATATTTATTAGGGATGCACAGATACCAGTGCCGATACTTGGCATTTTCACGAGAACTACCAGGGACGCATCAGTTGCAGCTGCAACTAGGCCCTGGGGCCCTGCCACTGTCCTGAAATCATTAGTCTGTGGTGTTTTAGAAAAACTCACATGACAATAAACAAAAATATATCAGTAATTGGTATCTGTGAGTACTTGGACAGGTATCGGTACTTGTACTTGGTCTGGAATAAATCATATATATATGTATATCTTGGCCAAAAATATGAATCTTTACACAGTGGTATGAGCTCTCTGATAAAGTATATTAGAAAAAAAATAAACATTATCACAATTGCAAATGCAGATTTAAGTCAATTTCGGCATTTTCTTCTTAGTATGAAACAATAAATGACAGTCACATGAAGACTAGAGCTCTGTTTAGAAAAAAAAAAACGTGCTGTTTCTAAAAGTAGAATTTAATCCTCAACATTTGCATTAAGAATCATGAATCACCCTCCTCCAAGCATTACAGCTTAAAATCTCCATTAATTAAGGCGTATGAGAAACTTTGTGAGGAATTTACATTTCTTTTGAAGATTAATCTATGTGATTGACATTTAAATGGTGGTTTATTAACAGCTGTTTTGTGCTTAGATAAGACACTTGTTTTATTTTGTGAGTGAAAACTGTGTTTGACTGTATACTATTAGAGCACTTGACAACTATATTGTGAACATGGGCTGTATAGCAGCACTTGCAGCTCATGTCATAGTTTGTGACAGAACCTTTAATTGGCATCACCCACCTTTGTATGAGTCAAACCTTGAAATATGTGTGGCAAAAGTTTTCATACCAAACTATTTGTACAAATATACTTGTTCTCTACCTTTCCCCTATTGTATACCTTTCTGTTCTTGAGAGGATAATCTAATACATTTCCATTATTTCCAGCAGATATGAATTGAATGCGGGCATGTGAAATGTCTCTTTCCATAGTCTAACCTTTGAATAGAGAGCAGCCCTTAAAGACAGAGACAGATAAAAATGTGTAATGTTCCAAAACCTTGGACATGATGTTTATCTTGTTGTGCATTACTGTGCAATTCATTGTTTTGCTACCCACATTCAATTACTGCCCATTGAAAGTAGCTAACAATGATAATGAAGTCTTGGGTTATATTAGGCTAACCTCTTCATTTCTGCAGAATGCGCACAATAGTTGTCCTTCACAAAGTATTCTCATTGTTAGCTTGAAAAAGTTTTCCTATACATTTTAGTCTGCTATATGGTATTCATGTTCAAATGTGTTGCTGCCAGAATACAGCGTTTAATTAGGTACACTTTTAAAAGCACTGTCACTGTTTGGGAATGGGAGGTGCATTTTTTAAACATTTGAATGTGATTTTTAAACGTGTGTACAAGAAAAGCTACAAATGTAATTTTGCCATCAGAATGTGTTTTGTAAATTAGTTTTGGCTGGAGACATTTTATATTTAGGTAGTTTATTATACTGTAGGTTGATCATCGCTAAATGTAAAGCATTTACAATGCAGTAGAAATATAAACTTGTGTTATAATAATACAGCCATGTTAATACTGCCTTACTTGTCTGTGTCGAGGGACCTTGCCTGAATGGTGAAAGAGCTTGCTATATATGTTACTGACCTGTACATTGGTTATAAGTTGGTGATAGACAATACTTGTCAGTTGAACAGTTTAGACTGCTTAATACCCTTCCTCCCTTTTGATGTTTACATGTGTTGTTTGTTGGCCCAACTTGCCATCTTTGGGGGCTTGCTAGTGGGGTATGTGGGTAATGCTTCACTGAGCTCCACCACAGCTCATTTGTGCCTAAATGTGGCGTGGACACATGCATATTCAAAGATAGAATCACCTTCAGGCACATTGGTCCCACTCTAGGATGATGCCTATGTAGGTGATCATTTAGGGAAATATTTTTAAAGTTGTAAAAAGGAATATTTTAAAAGCAATTGTTGAACAATGTACGTGATAAACCTATAACCTTTGCTCACCACTAATTTGTTCCACAAATACTGAACTGAAATAAATAGATACATGTGTGCTAAAAATTCTCTGCAAAAATACCATATGATATACTTTTTTAAGGTAACATGGGCCCTAATATAATTTCCTTCCGCAGAATAGGCCTATATTATTAATAATCTTTTGGATGTCTTTGTATTGCATGCTATAATTTGCAATAAAATAAAGGCTATTAATCTTGAGGTTTTTTTTCTTCGTGATTCTCCTTAAACAATTCCCTATCTGTATGTGCTATCTTAATACTTAATTTATTCTAAATACTTCCTGTTATCCCCTTTTTCTGTTAATAGCCTAATTAGTTGGCCCGGCTGTTCTAAATAGTCTTCCCTCATTGTACAATTTCACT